CGACTCGCTTTGTTTTGAGTACACTGTTCCATTATTCAGAAGTCAAGCTTTATGTAGCAATGGAAAACGAAGTGCAAGGATAGACGATGTTAGGACTTAGAAGCTAGGTTTTTAATAGCCAGTGTTTCTAATGTTTAAAAATAATTAAATCTAATAAGAAAGGGTTGAACGCGCTCTAGTGCAGCAGTTGAAAATAATTAAGTTCCCATTTTTGAGTTACGAAAATAGTAACCAATTTTTTTTGTCTGGTAGATTATTTACATAGGTGTATATTAATATGTATGTGTATAGGTAAATGGAAGTTTCTTTTTGATACCCTAAACAGCTCTAGAGGAAAAAGACTAGGTACAAGGCCCACATCTCGTAATTTAAAGATAAACATGTAAAAGCACTTTTGCACTAACGCGACACATGAAGTTTGAAATTGATTAGGTAACCTTCATAACACAAGTCATTTGGATCCCAGACTAACATTTTTATTAATGCAATTCATTCTTAAAGTAAACGCGGTATTCCCACTGAGTAAAAATAAAGTTAGGAAGGTATCAATCCATTACGGACGGTCTTTTTACTGCGGTTCCACATCAGGAATTCATTACCTTCCACAACCAAAAGTTTTTCATGCCCGCACACTATGAAAGAACAAATTATATTGTTAGAGTATTCTTATCACGGACAGCAATTTATTACAGAAGTATTTGGCTCAATTCCAATTGCGGCGGCCCTTGGAAACTTTTAATTGGCTACTCTAACAAACAATTACTGAGTCGGTGTGAGTCTGTCATTGCATTTTTACAAATTAAAAAACATCAACTCCCAAATTGAAGGGCGGTTCTAGCACATTCCGACGGAGGCGGTCTATGTCTAGAAAAAAGAAACAAATTACCGGTTTCGCATTATCGTACCAACCTAATTTTATTTAGGGACCGTCTGCTACGTTTTATCTGTGACTAAAATTGTCGGAGACAGAAATAGATAGGTAATTAGGTAACTATCTATTCTACTTCGAAGAATATCTTAAAGTTGACTGAAGTTAGTTAGACATTACTCTTTCTTAATTTTAAGTGACTAATTAATGATAGTAGAGGGGCGACTACTTGGTTTGAATTAATCGATGCTAAGATATTCTGAAAATAGGCAGGAACCTATACAGAGTATTATAGCATTATTTACATCTTATTATTATTAGTAGTTAGTAGAGAAAAGTATTTAACCAACTTTTAGTTACCATTTTAAATAATCCCGTATATTGTCTATAACAGAGATTATCATTTTACTGAAACACCGCCATTTTTTCATCATTGAATGACCCCGTTCCTATTCCTGCCCTTCGAGCCGGAGCCCCGGCAACTCGTGAAGTCCTCGTAGGTAAATATGTCAAATATGCCATGAATAGTAGCCGTGGAATAGTAAAATAGTTTTATCTATTCCATGCATGGGTTTACCCACCTTTAAGACGCCAGTACTATCAGTCTTTATGTAAAAAGAATTGTAAATAAAATACAAGTAAATAAGAAACAGATAACCGATGCATTTTTTGTACTTAATCTTAAACTTAGGTAAGTACCAACCTAATAAGTACTCGTCAGCACCTATGAGCAAAACTTTGCAAAGATTGTATTACATTTCCCACGTGGACTGACGTGAAAGTGGAAACTTCCATTCCATTATAAAGTGCAAGGATGAAGAAACATCCATTGCGCATAAGTCACGTAACGCAAATAACGTATTGGGTTTAGATAGTCAGGTAGGTAATAGTGCAAAATAGCCCATTACATTAGCGCTCTTACAGCTCACGCGGGAGAATAGATAGCTCGATCTATACTTAAATCTCCTTTCGTTGTCAGCTAGAATGGAAATACATTCTGCTTTTAATTACTTCGTTGTCTAGTTCTTATACCAGTCTTATTAATTATAGATAGCTAGGTTAAAAGGCTAAAACTTCCTACCTATACATTTGTGGGTAGGTATCCTCCCTACCTTTATATAGGTTTCTTACATTATTTAATTTAACTAGGATTTAAAGATTTTTTTGTGTATATAGGTTTACTTTATATGCAGACAAGACAATGCAGATTTTTAGGTATAAACTTTTGTATGTATCGCATATTTTTAATTATACCCGCAATCAATACACAATACATACCTACCAAGGTTGTAAAAGCTTAGTCAATGTTTATTCAAAATAAAACTTGTTTCAAGGCTTTCATTGGTGATTTTGAATATAATATGTACTCACTAATTAAAAAAATAATAAAATATTTCAATCAACGGTCATAATGAGAGAGGAAAGGACGGTAACATGATGGTGTCCCAAAAATTATTACAAGTAGCGACATCTAGTTAGTTTAAAGAGAATTGATAGTTAAATACCTATTTAAAATTAAATAACGTACCTAAGTACTTCTACATTTTTGTGGAAATAAATTAATACAAAAGAATTGTGTATTGTAAATACAGAAGAATAATGTAAAACTAGATTTATTTCGAACGTTGTGATAAGAGACATCTATTGTCGAAGCTCAAAATTACACAAAGCGCTAGATGACAGATAAGCGGCGGAAATGGTTTGAAACTTATCTAAACTTTTTCGCGATACCGCTTAGTACCGTTAACATTTATTATTACGCCAATATTTATTTACTTAAAACATATTAGAACCAGATAATAAGAAGTATGCTCTATAAGAAATGTTGGATGTACTTCGAGTCCCGTTACGTATGTCAAACTTATTCAAACACGTGTTGCGATCGCGCGCACATGCCGCGCCTTCCCGACCGGCTAGCCTCGCCAGCCTGTCGCTTGTTGATTATGTAACAACAGTAGGTACTATGTAGATATCATAAAATTACTTAACAGCTCGTTATTACGCCCAGTTACATAACTACGACCTCGAGTCATTTATTTTACGTAACCATGAATAAAATCACTTCTTATGAATGAGTAGGTGGTTGATATTGAAACTAAACATTACTTCGCAAGTATATTTAATATGGGTTTGTAATAATTTATGAAAAAATTTAGGTATAAGACAAATTTTGGTATAAGAGTTGGTATCGAAGTTCTAGGTAGAACCTAGAATTAGGACTACAAATACATCAAGTAAAGTAGAAATATAAGATAAAGACTTAACATTATGGCCATCTTATTGATAACCTGAGTTACAATTTAACAATAGTATTTAAACTATCTAAGTGACTTCTAAGTTAATGACTCCATTATCTTTGTTTTCTTCAGTTGATGCAGTCCCATTGCCTTTAAACTTTTTTGCTTGAGTACCCTCGGAATCATTTGTTGCTTCTTCTTTAGACAGTTCATTCAAGTTATATTTTTTATAAGTAAAATAATTATCAACAATGCTTAACAAGCAAATACCCTTTATAATTTCTACTATTATACAGAGTCCAGGATTTTTCAAATCCGCTTTGTTGTTCGCATTTTTCAAGACAACCATCTCCGCCAATTCTTTGATGATCAAGTCTCTACAGACACTGCTGTTGAAGCGTTTGTTGAAGATGATGGCAAATGAAGACGACTGTTTCAAGAAGTATTTGTCAAACAGCTTGCCAGCACACTCCATGATGTCTGGCAAATTGGCCTTGCAGGTTGCCATGATTGGTAGCAAACGTAGCACATGACGTGTTTTTGATAGTCTCGTCGTGACCAAATCTTTAATTATGGCTGTGGTCAGCTCTTCTGGACTAGGTAAATTTGTTTTCACGAAAATGCAGTTGGATGCACCTGTTTCCACTACCTGGAATCTTTTATGCTTCAAAGATTTTTGAGACTCTTTCTTCAGTAAGTCCACTTCTCGCTTCAGCATATCTCCTATATCAGTCTCTTCTTCGGACTCACTGTCTGTCTTGTCTTCAGGCACTGCAGATTCCGGAACAGCTGACTGGTTCTCCAAGCCGAGGTCAGGATACAATTTGCCAGCATATTCATTCAGCAGATTATACACTTCTTTCACGCAGTCTTTTTCTCTGAAGTTACACGTGCAAAAGAAACCTTTGAAGCCGGGTTCCAAGAAGTATTTGTTTCTACGTTTACGAAAGTAAAACTTTTTCTTCTTCCGCGTATCACCCATAATTAATACTGAAATCACTCACTGCAGTTACAATATGGTTATGATGGCGGACTGTGATGATATAACGAAATATTATGTGTTACGTATTGAGTCGAATTATATGATTATGAATTCAATAACACAACATCAACATCCGTAACGTAATGTCATGTCATGTCATTGAAATGTCAACAAAGTGTCAAAACTAGAGATGCTTCTTAGAGCACAAAATCGACTAATGTTAATGTATAATTTAGTCGATTTATTGACGTAGTAATAAAGAAAAATGGTTACTTAAATCTAATCAAATGGCAGATCCATTTGAGGATGAGAGATCCGCAGAGAGGAAATAATAAATAGAATATATTAACCATGCCTACTTTACTAATTTCCTATACCAATGACGTTGATTCAATGTCCTAGTTCTATATTTTGTTTTTGCAAGTGTACTTTTGCCAAATAAATAAACCAAATGGATTCATTTGTGTTACCACTATTTTTAATAAAATTCTCGCTTAGATGTCCCATAAGCATTTTACGTGTATCTCTCGGGATAAACAAACAATTTATTATGACCTCAAGTCTTTGCACCTAAATAAACATAAAATAGCGAATTCGAAATTATTAATAAGTAGAAGAAACTATTGTCAATTCCATTTTGAAAAAAAAATAAATTTTACTGCGGTTATCGTTTATTTACATTAAATTCGTTTAACAGAAATAGTTCACTTATTTACAATTTCTACTTCTATAAATAAAAATGTATAACATAAGTTGCTTAGCGCCTATTTCATTAAATCTTTACACTTTATACACTAAAATAAATGTAAATATTAAAATACTATTAGAATACTTTTTGTAGACATTTTGCATTGTCTTAAGTGCATTGTCCGAATTATGAATTCCGAAGATGGAACATCAATTTTTCCTAAAACTATTTACTGAATTTACAATATTTTGGCTTCATTATCGTTGGCAGATTGGCGACGACTGGCTTATTCCGTTTGGGGCACACTGTAATACTGAAAAGAAAAAAATAAACAATTATTATTTTAAATACTATAACAAGTATCCCACAACTGGATTTGGTGGGAGACATTTCGAGCATGAACGTCACACTGTGACAATTTTAAATGTATCAACGAATCGCTAATGGAATTGAGTCTCAACTGGACTATTCCTTCAAGTATAGTTGTAATAACATTGAAAAACTAAACTTACTCTGTGTTATATTCAATTGAAGACAGCTTCATATACTCGACGTAGATGCTAGGGCTCTTCAACAGTCTCCAAGTCATGGGGTTGAACAAATTTGTCTCATATTTCCACTCGACGATCACAAACACAGGTGGATGGCCTGTATCTTTCACTGCCACCATCTTTTTCTCGATCACACCGGGTTTGTAGAACTTTCTGTTGGAAACAAAAATATTAATTAGTAAAAGAACCTAGTGAAAAATATTAATTAATGAATTCATGAAAAGGCCCTGTAAAGATTTCAAAAACTAGCACCTGAATATAAACGAGTCTTGTCATGAGCCTATATTTATACGTACTTTGGTCTAGGATCTGGGGTCTAGTATAGTTATTTCTAGGATTTTTATTAATTTTAGAAGGTCAGAATGTTCTTCAGCATCAGTTAGAAAAGTTGATAGATAATACCTAAACATCAAACAGAGCTAAATTTTATTGATTTATGAGAATATTGCACTAGTACATTAATCGCATTAAAAGTACCAAAATATAACGCATATTACGTATAAAAAGTTGACCTACTGCCACACACTCGAGTTTGTTTTTATAAGAACTATTGTTTGATAAAAATCTTTTTATAGTTTTACAAACGCGTAAATTATTTCATAATATTATAAACATCCTTATGCTTATCGATATTATCTTAAGAAATCAAATGACCCGAAACGAGAGATAGCGAATTATATAATGGAGTACCTACATTCATTTTCTACATATAACGTTATCTGGAAATATACTAAGATAGCTCTTACTCATCTAGATAGCCAGATAATTCTAGAATCTACCTAAGTACCTATGAACCCGGTATCTGACTAGAGTAACAATATCTTTAGTGATAGGTAAATGTAATACCTACTCAGTTATAAGGAGCAATAATTCCGAAATAAATGGCCATACCTAAAGAGAGCTTTATTTCTTACTAGCTTTTACCCGCGGCTTCGCTTGCGTCACAAAAGAATAAAAAGTAGCCTATGTGACATATACCAATACACACAGCGCCATCTATACCAATACTTTTGTTTTTCCTCGGGAATATCAATTTTTTCCTGGTTAAAAGTACCCTATTATTTAATCCGGACTTCTAACTTTACGTCTACAAAAATTCAAAGCAATCGGTTGAGTAGTTACGGCGTGAAGGTGGAACAAACAAACAAACTCACTTTCAGATTTATAATATTAGTAAGGAGTAGCTGACCCGACAAACTTCGTATTGCCTAAAATACATATAATATCTCGCCTTTCATACCTTCCCAAGACTTCCACGAACATTTCAAGACCAAAATTAGCCAAATCGGTTCCGCCATTCTCGAGTTTTAGCCAAACTAACGAACAGCAATTCCTTTTTATGTATAAGATGAAGGTTTCTATAATCATTTGTTAAAAAAAACAAATAACTTCTGCTAAATTCGCGGCTGCGTTGGTCTTTTAGCTATTATGAACTATAGCTACGTTAATATACGTTTTTAAGTTCAAAATAAATCAAGTAAAACTTACTGTTCTTCTTCCAAAAACATATGATCACTTTTGTTGTTGTTCCTGTCGACTAATGTGATGGATAGTTTTCCAGATTCAGGGCCGTGAGTGATGCTCGCTGTAGAGTTAGCCACCTTCAGTACCACCTCGTAATGCACTCCTGAAATAAAATGTGGATAAAACATGTAAAACTGCATGTAAAAAATCTAATATAATTTGAACTGGTTTACAAACTAACATTACGTCTCTTTATCATTTATGGTTTTTGTATATCAAAACATCCGACATCGTCATTTGGCTTGCAATAATTTTAGTGCCCAATACCAAAGACAAAAGGGATGATGATAGGGTATGAAAATTAAAAATCCATTTGGTCCGTCAGTTAGGCACTGAAAAAATTCTAGACACGTATTTTTTATTGTGTCCTATAAGAAAACAATACTTAGATAAAACGAATCAAATCCTAGTAGTGGCAGTTTTGATTAAAGAACGTACACCAGTGACGTTACGCGATATTTCGTATCGCGAAAGTATTTTGTTTCTATAAGAAAATAAAAAGGACTTGTCTAATGCTTTTAAACAATCTACCAGACGGACAATAAAATAAAAATTAGTCATCTACTGGTCTACCCTATTCAAGGATTCGTACAAAAATTTAGAAACTTGGGGTGGTCTTGGGGTCAAGCTCAATACCATTGAAAGTTGTTGGTGTTCCAAAAACCACAATTCACTATATATGTCCAATAAATCTAATTAAATCTACTTTCCAATCTTATGAATTTAGGTACTAAGAGAAATTACTTACTGCAAAAAGGTTTACTATTGCCAGTAAGAGCATACAGCGCGATATTAGAATTGGTATCAACAAGGCCGCCCGCCTGCAGTCGCTTGTAGATGCCGTAAGAATGGTATCCCATTGGTATACAATAGTGATGATTGTCACAACTCGTACAGTTACCAGCCAGAAATGCCTGGAAACAAGAATGAGATTAATGTTTAAAATTAAACTTGAAAAATATACAGTTATTCTTTGAACATCAAATAATAGATAGAGATAGGTGCATGTAATGGTGCGTCCACATCTGGCGATTGTGCCGCTAATGCGCCGCTCGCGTACCATTTGCGATGGTAACTGCAATTGTTTGATGCTCAATTTATACAAGGTTCGTGTCTCGCGGTTGCTCATTCGCGGTATATTCGCCAGATGTGGACGCACCCTAAGGTATTCCGACGTTAGCTTTTACCTAGGTTTGATACGTAAAACTGTTCCTAATAAATGCCATATTATAACACAATTTTAGATCAATGTTTTAAGGTCAAAAAATAATGAAATTGCGAATTAAGTTAACAAATTCAGAAGAATATATCATTCCTGGCTGATCAGACTGTGCAATGTTAGAATAAGATCCACTACAATTTTAATACATTGCGCAATTGTGGACCAACACCTCTACATCCGGGTTGCCCAAAAATAAAATAAGAGATACCTAGTATTATGACGTCAAACACCAATAACAAAACATTATTTATTTTTACTAAGATAACAATAAGAAGTATATATTTTTTTTATTGATTGCAATTGACCTTTTGTTAATTGGACGATATTTAATACTATAATAGATAAGTCAACCTATTCTTCATTGACTTTAATAGGAGTAGGGCTCATGTTTCTATGACGTCATAGATATATTACGGTAATGTTTATTATTATTGCGCAGTGTATATTGAAAGGTAGATAACGATTACCAGTAACTACCTATAATTCGCTAAGGTTTTTCTTATGAAGCAAATTCAGAGAATTTGTTGGTAAACATGAAAGCTTTAGCGTTAGCTAACTTTTGTTCCATGATACAATTAAATTCGCGGTTCAATATGCTAGCTAAGCGTCCAGTACACGTCTTATCCTTGATCTTTTAAAACATTGCCCCACGCTAAGATTTTGTAGTGTCGTAGCAATATAAAGATTCCCACATTAATCAGTCATTTATTATTGTTATACGGTTTTATGTATATAGTGATCATGTGGGAAAAACCATAAGCTAATCATAATTATTAGCAAAAACACTTACATCATAAGACTCGCATTGAACTGCCATGAAGGGGCATGAAGGGGCCACGCTCTCAATAAAGTACTCATAACTCCTCTCGTGGTCGCAGCCGACGAACTTGGCAATCTGTTGGTACGACAAGTCGCCGGATCCACCGCTCGGCGAGCTCGACTGCTTGCAACCAGGCTGTGTTATACCACCGTTGGGGTAGAAATCCACATGACCTATTGGCTCGGACATGCCAAATCCTGTAATGTAGAATGGTTTTGTAATGAAAATTGTGTTTATTTTTTAAGTATTTTTTTATGTTGGCCCACACTAGGATTTGCTCCTGTGTCGTAGGAGCGATTACAAATACATGTCGTATGCAAATCTGGCAAATCACACTCAGACCCGAAACAATAATTTGAAAATCATATCAAGAATTGTTCTGTACAGGAATTGAACCCATGACACGTTGTTATTTGCATTGGCAAATAAATATGGTCAATAACCACAACCATCTTGAATTGTTGGCCACATTTATTTACTGTATCTACTTACGAGTAATAAATAAATATGGCTTTTTTGTTACAGGGACTCATCATTTCCAATCAATGGGGCAGTGTCGACAGCAGAAACTTTCATATAAAAATAAACAACAAAAATCTGTTTTATTTCAACTAAATACAGTTCAAATTACCTGAGAAGTACAGGGGCAATGCGTTGCTATGGATGATGTCCACATATTTAGCGTCGGATCTGTCGAGGCGGACTAGCGTTACGGTCCTAGCGAAGTAAGGAGATGCAGGGTCCAATCCAGTAATACGTCCAAGCTTCAAGTAGAACCTCTGAAGGAGAAAATGAAATGTTTTAGGGTTATTCTGTGGTTTCAGTCTTATTGGTGAAAATAAAGGTTTGAACTGCTTAGTATGAACTTCTAGCACCAGTTGTTAAATAACATAGTAAATGAGATATTAGAATCCTGAAGAGAAAATAAAAAGAATTGTAAATAAAACATTTTCCAAATTAATATTATAAATGTTAAAGCTTCTTTGTTTCGATGTTTGGATGTTTGCCTGTCAATTACGCTAAAACTACTAAAGGAATTTTGTCAAAATTTGGTAAACAGGCTACAAAATTTGGTATGGGTGATAGGATACTTTTTATCCCGATTAAATGCTCCCATGAGATAAAACAGGAATCATATTTTTCGCAGACGAAGTCGCGGGCAACAGCTAGTTATACTAATATATCTGGCATGCGAAAGTATAGTTATAAATAAAACGATGCATGTGAGTGGTTAGATGTATAAGGGTACAGAAAGAAATGAAAAGAGGTATTTAATTTAAGTAAGGATCGTATTTTGTGCCTAAAGCACCATTGAACAAATTTATCGAATTTATGCATCTGTGTAGTGATGTCAGAACTAGTATGATTATCTTACCTTTTGCAAAGCATGCCCACAGTATCCGCCTAAATGAGCTCCCAAAGAGTGCCCGATGAAGTGGAAGTTATCTATGTGTTGCAATCCTAGCACTTCCTGTAAAGAAGAAGCAAAGGTCATATACAAAAAGAAGATATAAAAAAAAATAATATAAGTAGGTCTTCAAGTCGTCCCAAAACCATTTGCATATAGGATGTGCTTTAAACATTAGATGGGTACTATATAGCTTATTTGCACATAGGTACGTAAACTTCAGCAGCAGAAAAGGATTATAAAATGTTCCTTTTTTGAAAAATTACGCACCTCCTGTAAAATAGGCCATTTCAATATTTTTTTTTATTTGGCTAAGAATTCTAATTTCAAATGTATTTTATACTTACATAAATGTTATGTATCAAGTGTGCAGTCATAACTCCAATAAGTCGTATATTGGCCACAGCTTGTCCATAAGGAGGTTGAGAACCACCTCGCCAGTCCACCACGATAACTGTAGCTCCTTCATTACCTTCCAGGTTTAGAAGAGCGTCCGCCATATTTTGAATCTACGAAAAAACATTTTGAGATTTACAATTGGTTATCATGATAAAATTGTTTTTACGGATTTTACATTTTGTTTATACAAAACTAAATCTAAAACAGATTGGGATAACATTTGAACTCTACTATTTTTTTTAGAAATGGCAAAGTAATAATAGCTTCTATTTAGGTAATGAAATTACTTCTAGTTAGTGCTTATGTGTAGATAAGTTAGATTTCTCACCCATGGTTTATGTCCTCCTTCTAAGAATCCGTGAGAAATAAAATAAAATGGTCCCCTAGGATCAAGATTCGCATTCGCAATTTTTTCTTTATTATCCGCCTCAAACAGAACCGGTATCTTTCGATTTCTTCTAGTAAACGCTGGATATCTGTAACATAAATAACATGCGCATTTGTTTAACCATATCACAAATTAATGTGAGAACTGAACCGTCATTATCAATTGTAATAAATTAAGGGTACGTGTCCGTTGTCCAAAGGTCAATAGACCTCGAATAAACTATGCACTGGGTGGATGCGATGCAACGAAAATAAAAACAGATTGTTTAAAATAGTTGATAAGTACGTCACTATGCAATTATGGGACGTAAACATTTGTTTTGTCTCCGTTCGTGATTGATTGATGTCACGGACGAGCCCCCGTCGTTATCGTCCCGAGACTTGGACTTACAGATAGTAAACACGAAGCGGATCTTATGTATGACTTCATGTACTAATTAGGTCTTAGCTACTTAGTCCTTATCAATTCGCGCATCTGTGATAATGTAAACAATTTGAGCTGGATTAAATGACATAATTCGTTTTAGAACTTTATTGGCCACGCCTACAATCTGACCTTAATGTTAATCGGATATAATATTCCGTTTAATGTTTGCCAATCGTTTATCACGCGTGAAAGTTTAAAGCTATTTTTTATATATTTGTAATCGTTGGTCAGCTAGCTTTAAGTAAGCAACTTTTTCATATAAACGGTCACGCACATCACGCCTTTTATCCCCAAAGGGTAGGCAGAGGTGCACATTATGCCACTGTACAATGTAACACCCACTTTTCCCTATTTCTGTTATGAGCCCATTGCCATATACCGGGCACAATTCCAGACTCCGTGCTACTACTGAGATTTTTTTAAAAACCCAGTAATACTTTGCCCGACCCGTGACTCGAACCCGAGACCCTTTGCCCGACAGTCGCACTTGCGACCACTCGGCCAACGAGGCAGTCGTTAATTAATATAACAATATCAAATATAAAATAGAGCATTAGCTCAGTTACCTATTCATTAAAATTTTATTTATAGGAAAACTAATGAATGACGACACTATTCTGGTATTCCCTAGTTGTTCAAAGGTAGGTACTTACTATACTAATATTAACAAAACAGTTTCCTGAGGAAACTTTTGTTTATTCATTATTGTGCAGTTATTTTTTGAAACAATACAAGTTCAGACACTTATTTGTCTTAACAAAAAATGGTAATTTTTTTCTAATTTCTTTCTAGATATGGACTAGAAGTGGACTTTCCAAACTTCTTTGGTTCGATTCCAGAAGCGGTATTCACAAGTACGGTTTTTTTATAATGTTCATTCGTTACTTTCGCTGATAGTTTTGTCAGTCGAGTGGTAGTAAGCACGATTGCCGAATCTATATTCGGCAGGCCGGACCTCGGGTGCAATTCCCAGGTCTATTAGCGTTACTTAAGATTACAGATTTCCAAAAAAAATGTCACTGAAAAAAGTCACGTTAGTTTTTTACAGTTTGTACGTCTATTAACCAGATTGCAAAATCTAGTTTTAATTGTAAACGTTACTCACCTAACAGCCATTGCTTCTGGCGGCACAGGGAAAAAGTTATCAGGCCGGTGTTCCGTCCAAGGATACGCCTTTGAAAAGCATCCGTAAATTCCGTAACAACGCTCCAACTCCGCATCATCTTAAATACAAACAAAATAAATTAATTTTGTACATTTATTATTCTAACTGCATCATTGGTCTGCTTAAAGGCATTTTTATAGAAATTGTGACCTCATACTAGGATTTTCTTGTCATGCGCGAGTTTTCAAATATATGTACCTACAATACCTATATCACGTCACATCTAGATCCGAAACAACCAATTGTGAATTACACAGGGTTGTTCCGTGCGGGAGTCTAACCCGTGACACTTGAAAGAAAGAAAGAAAAAGCATTTATTTGACAATTAAGTACGCACACAACTAGCGTAGTAGCCATTTGATCAATCACTTCGCAAACCGAGCAATCAAGAAGATGTATGTCCTTTTGCGACTACCCTACGGGCATCTGCTTCTTCCACATTTTCGGTTATCTTACTGCCATCCCGAGCAGCATTTCAAGCTCCCTTTAGACCAGAGGCTTTTGTTTAGTAATTGATATCTTCGGTCAGACTGATCATGGCCATAGGTCTATTGTCTTAAAAGAGCTAGCATTCGGTTGTTTCGATGTTTTACTAATGGTGTAGCAAATAAGCGGCTCGTTTAATGGAAAGTGTTTATCGTAGCTTATTAAACTGTCAAACACCAAGCGGTCACCGGTGACCGCGACCTATTGTTCTTTAATTGTGTCTATAAAACCGGTACTCGACGAGTTAAAGTCTGCAGGGATAGGTGTTTCTCGCTCTTTGCCGAGCCTAGATTTCCAGGTGCAATGTAAGTAGTCATTTACTGGTTACTTTTGCAGATTTGCATCTCTCTTTATATACTTGAGAGTAAAGAAACAACCACAAGCGCTTTTCTTTTTCTAATATACAACCCTCAATAACTTAAAAAAATATATTTCTTTTACAAACAATTGCTCTCAGTTTAAAGGTAACCAAATTACCTTTATACGACATATGTTACCAATTAATAAAATACTTATATCAGAAAATATTTATCAAGAAATGAAAAATAAAAAACGATAGCGGTTCCGTTTCTTTCCTCCTAAGTGTAGGTTTGACCTTATTATCAAAACTTGGCTGGACACGTGCGACTACTGCTTATCACTTTTACTGAAATGGCCGTGATGTTATTATAAAAATGGGAATTACAAATATAAAAACAAGCGATCGGTAACAAACACCTAAAGTTATTGGAACTTTATCAGCGTAATTCAATAGTGTCAAATTTGCGCGCACATGCCCTTTTGCACCGGATATTATGATAATAATATATTTTTGAACACCACTATCACTGGTTTTTATATGGAAAATTAATTAAAACATGCAGTCAAAGATTATTAATTTAACATTGAATACTAAGTAACAAATAGACCTACATATTTGAAGGTGCAAAAAATATGAAGACACTGCAAAATTACGAAGTCATTGACCCGAACCTACTTTTCTTCAAAAATCTAACTTAGGTATATTTTTTTTATATAATACTAAATATATTTTAATAAACAAATCAACAAACCATTAAAAGTGCTTGGGAAGTTGGTGACATCGGTGGAATTCTGTTTATCCATCAACACCATTATGGTCTGCAACATCAGCGTCGCACTAGTCTTGTTATACATTTTGACAAACTCTCACGAATTCTATTCACGAAAAAACAATTATTTCAAAAAAAGAACTTCATATAACCGCAGCGCACGTGTATACGTCACTGCGTATATTATCAACAATGTCCGAGCGACGTGAAATATGATCTGTGTCGCCAGTAGTTAAACAATACGATGTTGCTAATTGTCACCATCGAAGTGTGCTGTGAAATGACATGTGTGAAGCTGAACGGTGGTTTATATAGAGAGTTGTAAATGCACCGCTCTGTATCCGCCGTTGTTACCTAACGTATCCCGAGCGCTCGTAGTTCGCAGACGTTCCGGGATACGGCGATAACAGAGGTTACAACGTTATCATTCGGTTATTTGTTAAAAACGATTGACGCACGAACAGTCTCGACGATTGTGTATACGTGTACTAATAGATACAACATGCACCACTATCAGTTATTAATGCACAATTAGATGACCATTAAATTACTGATTTGTAAATAAGGATAATTAAGTCCGTTTACACTTTGCTCTATCTATGACACTATTACTTAATTAAGTAGCGTAGTAAATGTTTCTACTACTAAACTATCACTTGGCAAATATATTAATATTGGATTAAAAATGTCATCAAACTCATCAATACCAATTCCGACCAAATCAAGTTCTGTAATTAGAATACAAGATAAAAGTTAATTAATGAAAAAACACCCTAAGATACAAGAAATAAGATAAATTAATTAAAAATAAGTGTAAACAAAGCACGGACTTTGAGCGGTCGTATTGATAGTGACCTCTAATTAACGAAATTAACTGTTAAGTAAACATACAGTTTAGTATAAGTATGTAGTTAACTGCACACTGTACTATAAAGGATACGACGGAGCTAAATATAAAATAGTTCTAATAATATCTTACTAGATACAGTTGCCTATTAATTAAAGAGGTCATAAGACAAATAGTCGAGACTCGTGATGGACAGTTGACGCTACAACGCGCAGTTCCTCATGATTCTACAGTTACATACAAATCAATCAAGCCAAGGAAAATACACATATTAATTTTTATCATTTCAGTCTTGAAACTTTATTAAATTTTACTTGACCCAAGTAAACACACATTATCTCAAAAGTCACAAAAACAATAATCACTTAAATTCATGCAAAATAGTACTCCTTAGTCATATCTCTTACAAAATCAATTCATCATACATAATTCCTAAAAATCGTCCACAATAATGGAGATCATATCCACAAAGTCAAAAACCGTCTAGAATTAAATATATAGCTATATAAATGCGTATAAAGTTCATATCGTATTACAAAAAAAAAAAAGAAGCTTAAAATAAACTAAATTACGAAAGAACTTTCCGTGACTTGTTTTTAGATGGAGTTGAAGAAAAATTGCAATTAAACGTCATTTCATCAGTGAAGATGTCAGACATGGATAAAGCATCGTTTTTATTATTGGCTTGGCCCAAGAACTTGTCATAGTCTTCAGCAACCAAGTTCTCCTTATCTTCTAACTTTGTTTCAGAAAAATTAAACATTTTTTTGACAGAATTATCACAGTGTGAAGGATAAAACTGCGTAGCGTCAGAAGATGTTTCATCTTTAAACCCACTATCAACTCTCATCCAATTAATATTAGAGATCTCTTTCAAAGCATTCTTATTGCTACAAGTCTTTGATACATTAGTCACGGTTAGTTCTGACGGTTTTATGGCACTTTCATAGTAACTAGAAGCGTTTACATAGAATGTATTCTCATTAAATCCACTATCTATTTTCTTAAAACTAGTTGAGCTATCACCACCCACTTTGGTCATATTGTTTGCTGTGTAATCAAATTGCGATATATTTTCAGTCAATAATTTGAGATCAACTTTGTTAAAGTCTATCTTTTTATGTTCCAAGCCGAGTGGATTATCTGAATTATCTAAACTATTATCTAGAGACATGTGCAGAGGGCTCAAAGCCATCGGTCCGCGAATTTTGCTAATTTCATGAGCGCGTGTGTTGCTCCTTAATTTGCTTCTGACAGGCGTGTCATCTATATTCACATCAACACTGTGAATCTTAGTAGACGACTGTATCTCGTTTGCCAAGCTCTTCGCCGTTTCAACTTTCACTAAATGATGAATGCTAGACTCTTCTACAAGGGACCAGGCTGCATCTGCCTTCTTTGGCGAACTGGGCTCTGAATCAGCTGAAATTAATAGGAAAATATAAGTGAGTCTTGATATAAAAATCCTACATTAAATTATAAAAGTTGAAGAAGACATTTTTGGTTCTTACCTTGAGAATGGTTGTGGAAGGAACCATCAACACTCATGTCCATACTGAAGTCCAGTTTCTGAACCGAGCGACTTCGATGTAGACTCGACATACTGAGGCTGCGTTTCTCTGAAAATGAGAAGGAGCTCTTCCTATGTTTGGGAGGAGACTCCTTCAGGGACGTACTCCGCTTTATTTTGTTCGGTGTTAGTTTACAGAAGCAAGGACCCTTCTTCTCGCTCTTAGGTTCTGCATGGAGGCAGTCTAAACATGTAGCCATTGTTTCGGTTTCCGGTGATGTGAAGTTGTTTTTCTATAAGCAAAAATACAATGATATATGAATATTTACTTATTTCTAATCTTGGGAAATGTGATATTTTTATTTCAATAAAGTAGATAATAAGGCGTCGTCGTAGCAGCCTACGGTTAGGGAACCGTTTTTTTTTTGATGACGGGGGAATCCTTCAATTTTGTGGGGATAAAAGACTAGCGAGTGTGGAATTTTTTTCACTAAAACCACCACGGTGGCCACCCTCAACACATGTATGGAGGCACCGGGTCCTCTAAAAGAGACCTGCTCCGGAGCCTCCACGGTACAACGCCTGTTACGACACATCCCTAGGGAGAAGGGTGTCTTTAACCCCTCGAGCGTCCTTATGAGCACCCGGTGGATCATAAGAAGAAATGCTCCATGCTGCTTTCTCTTTTATAAAATCTATTATTAATGTTTTGTTTTTATTTTGACTGTATTTTTTATTTCTATTGTAATGATCCTTGTTTTCATATCATGATCATAAGGAACGCGGACACTCGACGGGTTAAGCCTTGCTGTATACGTGACCACTGTGCCACCGTCTTCCCTGAGACCACAAGGTGGGCGCACCTAAAGTCCTCACTCTATGCACCCGTGGCCAATTTTAAATTCATACTAGGTTTTGAGCCCGAAGTTTTTAGGTTAATTGTGACACTACTGATTTTGTGATCAAAGAAAATATCGTGAGGAAGTCTACACAATTACAAGTGAGTTATAGAGAAGTAAAGAAAAATTGTAATGTACCTCTTCATCACTTGAAGACGCTTTCATGACTGGCGAGATCGAGGCTAAAGAGGACGAAGTAGCCGACCCCTGACATTGCACAGACCCAGTGCGTCGTGGAGTTCTGAACCCTATAGGACTGAAGCAGGGCTCCCCAAAGTCCACAACATCTAGTATTTTGTTCCTGTACGGCTTACTGCTGCCTGACGATACCTTCTTCAATGGCGTACCGAAAGTACGCTTCATACCCTTTGATACTAGGTCTCGGCTCTGTGGGAGAAAAAGGCATATGATTAATTTAATTTGATTCAATTTCTCTATTTCTGTATTTGCATGATGTGATTCCCTTTGACTGAAGGATCAAAAGGCTATTGTAATGTCTAGTGTATCTTTTATTGGGAGTCCAAATAAGTAAATAATGACAATGAATACACTTTAAAACAAAACTAAGTATGATTTTCGTTTTCATGCTGCGTATCTACCGCTGCAGGCAGGCCAATTGAGGACATTTTTAACTGTTATGTTATTAGTTGCGCTACGATCCTGACTTGAGAAATAAACTAGAAATATGTATTGACCAGAGACTTCATATACGACTGTCTATCACTTGGTAGATTGCAGGTTTAAATAAATATTTTATGGCAGCATAAACACAAGATCTTTTACTTACGAGATCTGGACTGAACAGTACAGGTGTGTGGGCCTCGTAGGTCGAAGGAGGTCTTTGTTCCACGCGGGAATCATCATCAGACTGTTCAGAGTCATACTGCTCCATATCACTGTGTTCTTCGAAAAACAACTTGCGACGTAAAGACCCATTCGCCGTGATTTCATATTCACCAGACATATTTTGCTCCTGGAAATGTTATACAGAATCCATAAGGTTCCTTCTATTATTTGTTTACTTAGATACAGCCGATAAAGTTAAGTCAAATTGGTACTTAGAATTGAGTTTTGTGACTTGAATAAGTAATCAGTTTCAAATTGAATTAATTACTCATTAATAATTTAGATTTTATTATGTTATAATCTATTACCTATAATAGATATTATAATAGATCGATATGATATTAAATATTTTATAATAATAGGTGACGTGATATTATAGTGAAATATTGTGGATTAATTGCTTTCATTACTTTTATATTATATTTTGAAATAAAAACAATTAAATGAATCACTTGCAAATAAATTATAGGAAAACTGACACTTAGAATATAAATGGTGTCTAATTAATTACTTAATACCTGTGTAAAAGTACAGAATGGTTGGAGCAATTTTTCCAACTCTGGGGGTAGTTCTGGTGGCAAGGTGAGCACTGTTTGAGCTGAAACTAAAATTATTATGTCATATTATTCATCAGTCAGTCAGTTACTCAACAATGTTTACATACATAACATAATTCTAATAGAAGAATTATAGACAATCTGCTCTTCAATAATTATGTAACTTTTCTTTATTTATCTACTGCTGAGAGATACTCAATCATATGGTCTAATTATTTGCTTAAAGTTACAATTGGGCATGTAGTTTCTTTGGACTGTGTAATGTAAAAGGCATACTAATATTCGGTAGCGTAACTACAGGGTTACCACCCTCGGTTACATTTAGCGGTCGGAGTCGGCTAAATGCAATGGACGCGGGTCCATTGCATTTAGCAGACTCCTGGAACTGGAAGGGGCCCCCGTCCAGAGGTTATCATCTGGACTCTCTTAAGTTTGTACATGTGGTAGGCTCCGACTACGACGAATTTGTAAACTATACTACAGTATAGTTTACAAATTCGTCCACTCAAATGTTCGTCAAATGCAGACACACAGGCAGCTAACTACTAATAAATAAAGTTCTATTATAAATGGAAAGGATGAAGTTAGAAAAACTTATATTTATAATATAAATGAGAACTTACCATCCTTAGTCATAACTTTTTCTTTGATTATGCTATCTACTTGAATGTTTGCTTCAATTGATGTTTGTAACAGTGGCTTAGCTTTTTTGGAGGATTCTATTAATGGGCTTGGCATTACCATTTCTTGTGAGAAAAACCTGGAAATTACAAACCATAAATTAGCTGTGAATATCTAAATCCCAAACAACCTGGAGATTTGTAATACAAGTATATTACGCCTAACACAGACGACCTCCTTGCATTGCCATAAAAATTAGCTTGATTATAAATAAATTTTAAAACTAGAATAAGCGCATTGTGAGGAGAATTTTTTATTTTTATTTTATTATTATAAAATGCCCTTGAACTTGAACATCTTGAACTTATACATACAATCAATTACTATGAAAGTAGTCTTCAATAATAATAAAATTAAAACTTGTGTTGCCAAATTATGTCTTATTTTCTACTAGCTACTCTCATGGGATTTCAACTGCTCTGCTCAGTTCTTATTGATTGTAGCGTGATGTTGTATAGCTTATAGTCTTCCTCAATAAATGCGCTAAATCCAACACAAAAAATATTATTGAAACTGGACCAGTTGTATTGGATTCTAACTGTGCCCGCAACTTTGTTTGTGTGGAATAATGATTCACAGCTCCTTCCCTGTAGGTGATTGGATGATAATATGTATGTATTATTATATGTATGGATTAGGACATTTAAACAAACAAATTCTTCAGCTTAATATATGAAAAAAGTAAGTAAGTTAATATGCATGTAAGGAACATGACATCATATCATGCAAAATCAATTACATAATTGTCCATCCATCATAGAACCATTTAAAACAATGAACATATTAAAGTACATAAAACTAATATTACAATATTTGGATCACACGAAAAGTGAAAGTGCAACAGAAGTAAATAATGGTTCATAAATATCCATTTGTCATACAACAACATAAACATGTTGCTCAAATGTGTTTTTACTATATCCTGTTTGATTTTAAGACAAATTACACCAATCTAGAGTAACTCTAATTAAATTCATCAAGTGGGTTTGGGGTGGTGTTGATTGGATGTTTCTGGTTAAAGCCTTCATTTAAAAGACTTATTAACCCACCAGGTTAAGTTATACCATCAAGCTTTTATTATTATTATACTCCTTATACAATAGTAAGATGTAACATCATCTTAGTAAATGAGATGATCTAAATATTTTTGGTAATTTAATTTAAAAATAGAATGTTTTAACATAGAGAGTATGGTACCTAAATAAGGAATTTTAAAACAGTTTTCTAAAAACAGAAACATATCAATTTACTTTGTAAAAAACCTTAGTTAACACTAATGTATTGAAATTCAGTTTTCTAGGAATGTTTTTAACACTATACATATCTTTAGATTATATACATTGTGTAAGCTATAGAAAAAATAATATCACAGCAGATTCACAGAAAATCTTTGACTTTCACCTTGTGTTGTGAAAGCTAACAGAATAAAGGCTGAAGCATCAAGGAATGATACCCTAGATAAGTCCCTAGGGACCTGGAAATACAAAATGATAAAATATCAGCATAATTTGTAAACTAAAATAACACATTACTTGTCAGTGGCTTCCTCAGCAATTTTCTCCAGAGCGGGATCAGGCGACGGCTCAAATTGACTGTTGCAAGCTACAATGTCAGCTGGTACCAGGGTGCATGCCTGGTCGATATCCCACCGAAACGATCCATTGCTCTTTTTCTTATAAATCTTGCACATACCCGGACTAAAATAAAACACCACGATTTGAAATTAGTCTGCGACTGTTGAATTTCTTACTTCTAAATACCATAAAAACACAACGAATTACCTGCATATAGGTTTGTGCAGCTTGTCAATCAAGGCTTTATCGAAAGGATTTCGTATTTTTCTGTTTGAAGGCGGCGGTGTTGATTTATAAACAATATTTTGGCAATCATTTTTATCACCCATTTCGAAATAACGTACTAATCTTTGTTGATGGTATTTCGTGACAAGCTGTGGTGACAATGACAAGCACAGCGCAATGACCTCGGCTCTGTCTGTTCGATAGGGTGGGAGAAGAAACTATCGATGAAATTATTCAGATTGTACCCCTTAATTTTTTGGACGATTACCTTTTGATATATTTAGTCGGTATTTTTACTGTAGCATTCCTACACTATTCAACGTTTATTTTTAATAATCTAATATTTTATTTCCAATTATAAGTGTTAAGTATACAAATAATAATGCTATACAACGTGGTAATGCTGCCAGCCTTTTGGGTGATTCGTTTATTAAGTCGATGCGGACGATTTTTTTAATGCTCTCTGTAAATAGTAGTTAATAATTTTCTTTTACTTTTGTTGTTAATTTTTAATTTCATAGTTTTAAATCTAAATATTTATTTATTTGCGCACTGCGCGCGCGCGCATCCTGTTTTTTTTTTGTATTTGTGATAAGTATCGATATTTTTATCTTATATGCATCCCTAGTGTTGGAGGTGTGACTGTCGTAGATTATATTAAAGTTTTGATACAGATAAAAAATATTTCTACATAATATTAATAAGATTCGATACCTCACTACAAATACTATTTCGTTAAAAATAGTGTGTTATCTAGTTCATTCTAATTCAATCATGAAATAAATAAATTCATGAATGCAATTTAGCTAAAAGTTTACCTTTATCTAGAAAATATAAAGATTGGCAAGACATTTAAAAACAAGTTTAAACAAAGTAGATGAAATTGGTTATATTCCAACTACATAATAAACTATTCTGTTACAGTTAAACTTAACCACTTAAAATGATTAATGTCGATACCAAAATTTAAAATAACAAATATATTATCATGTACCTGCTTTATTTACTTTTGCAGGAATCACTGGTTCGATTTGAAATAAACTTGGTAGATTGGATAGTCCGTTCATTGAGGAAGGCGATTGGTTATGAAAAGCATAAGTTTAACTTACCACGAGATATTTTAACATATTATTATAGCAGATAAAAATAATAAATGATTACTAAACTGAAACCCGCATTTAATGTAAAGTTTTAACATTTTGCTATGTTATTTATTCTAAATTTATATTTTAATATCTTAATATAATAATAAACTTTATAATTATCATTTATCCAAATAAATAATTGTCAACCCAAAAGTACTAAATGATCACCTAAATTATCGCAGTTTAATATAAAATAGATAAAAGGACTAAAGGTATCAAAGGTATCAATGAAACATCACCCTATGATGAATAGGAGCCACGCAGGTGAAATAGCACAGTGAGTAGGTAGTTAGATTTTTATTAAGATTGTCTCTAGTAATGTCACGCACGGCGCGGTGCCGCTCAATTGACGGATACAATGACGTTTGTAAGTGACTGTCATCAAAGTTTTTGGTGGTTAGATTTAAAATTACTAATTTTCTAAATATTTTATTATATCTATCGATGTTTGACATAACTCATGTATTTCGCTAATTGTTTCAGAGGTTATATGTTTGAAAACATTTGCTCAAATATATTTAACAATGGAGAATCATAATTTAAGTTGTGAGCCCATGGACATTGATACTAGCGGTCATTCGGTTCGAGACATGGATATTTCTTATGATGAGCCGTTCTACATGTCGACTGTTATAAAAACTGAAAAAGAAGATTTTCCCTCTGAAGAAACACAACTAATTACCGACAATACGATCTCGGACATCCAACCAACTGTGAAGAAATTCCATATAAACATGCAAAGACCAACCAAAAGTTACAAAAATGTTTTATTCCAGCCAGTTACCATTGGTATGGTAATATTAATGTCCATATTTGCACTTCATATATATAGTTTAAAGTGCTTTGATGATTTTAATGTAGAAGAGTTAAGAGACACACTTACGAACCAAGTATTTGGCCAGTCAGAAGCTATCAATTCAATACTGGAGACATTAGAACAACAAGAGCGAAGTAAACTTATTATCTTTTCAGGAGGAACAGGTGTTGGGAAAACTTTAATATCTTCTATCTTGCTGAACAGTCTGGGACCATGTTCTAATGTATATCACTACACCATGCCTGGTTTTATAAATACATTCTCAACAGACTTTATGTATGGTTTGACCATGTGTAAGAAGTCATTGCTAATAGTGGATGACTTGACTGCTAATGATATTATGCAAAGCAAAATACATATACAGAAAGTTATAGAAAAAAGTGAGTACTTAGCAAAAGAAACCACTGTGATTTTAATATATAATTGTTATGAATCAACTGCCGATTTTAAAAGAAACTGTGATGAGTCTTTTCGTCATAAATTATTGGAGAACTTTAGTGAGATAAAAGTTTTAAAAAGGTTTGTTGAATTCAAACCTCTTACAAAGTATCACTTAAAGCAATGCATCAGGCAAGAGTTAGCTGACAGACAACTAAATGACAGGGAACTGGAGGATGTGTTGAGAAACTTCAATGTGGATGTTGACGGCTGCAAAGGTGTTCACTCAAAGATGAAGTATTTGAATATTGTTTGAGGTATGTTCTTATTTTGTAAACATTAGCCTATGTATTGTAGTCATTTCAAAACAGGTTGTGAGTAATAATGTAGCTAATTCCCATTGTATGTATGTATATTGATTAAAATAATTATGTAGTTAGTATGTATAGTGTAATATAAACTGTAAACAATCTATTATTGTTGTATTCTTTCTTAGTGTAAGTAGGTAATGTGTAAAATAAAATATCATGAGCTATTGTAGATCAAAAGAACTTTATTTTAGAGAATTTTACATGATAATCGGCAATGCAGAGGTCCAAGTAATAATGTTTAATACAAATATACTGACAATTCTTTAATACACCTATACATCCACATAGGATATATTCTACAACAAACTTAGCTTTCATGACAAAAAAGAGCAAATCCTAAATGAAGTTTGTGGTGCATTAAAGTATAAATACTTTGGTAATATTTCTAACTATAAACATATAAAATAATCTCAACCGCATACCTAGGCGAGGGTGCAAATTGGTATGGAATTTTGACTAAACACATTGTTCATATCCACTTAATCAACACCCTAATAATGATGTAAGTTAATGTTGATATAGCCTTACAAATATTAACTTTGCAATGTTTGGCTTTGAAACATTAAACACAATTCTAGCTGAATATTATAGATAATGTTAATCTATTGAGATTATCAGCAATTTTACTACACAAGTAATTATTAATTGAAAATTATGACACAAAAACGATTTATACTAGTATATTTAAAAATGTACCCCTATTGCAATGCACCCATATTATGTATATAATTTTTCTCATGAAACCATTTGTATCACACCTCTAGGTATAGTTATTTTTGCAGATCTGTGAAAAGTCAATAGTGTCATTATTTGATACAAATGGTCCCATGAAACAGTAAAGTTTAAGTACATCTTTAATGTAAAATAATTTATTATTATATATTTATTATAAGTATTGTAAATGTACAGAATAAAAAGCAGCCAATGGAAAAAGTTAAATGTCATTTTACAAGCCCTCCTAAATGTAAAAGCCAGTGAGATAAATGCATGCAAACAGGTAAATGTGCATTATTAACAATTTGCGGAGAGCAGATTAAATTTTTGAAAAAGTTAAACTATTTAATTCAAGCTGACAGTAGCTGTGTATAGGTATCCCTTTAATTTGGTGTCTGGACTACTGTCCGGGGAAGACTAAAACATATAAATACTTAAAATATTCTTGTCTCAAGAGATTTGTGAGATTTTCTGGAAGATATTATCATGATGATAGATTTGTGCTTCTTCTCATACTGAATAGGTAGATAGGGTTATATACATAATTTAATTTGCTTTAAGTAGTATTTAATTAAATTCTGACAAAATTTAACAGTTTTATAGTAAATATTGTATTTCATTGATAGTTTGGTAACATATTAGTCTAGTCAATAAAATATTATACTTTTGTTATATTTCAATACATTGGTGTTTCATACTGACCTTTATGAATATTTATAGTTATTTTGATAATGTAGGTGTATAAGAAATAGATACCTACCCAAAAGGTTTTCTTGGGAAAAGGGATTTTCATAGACCCAATGCAAACTTTCAGCTGTACCTCATTAAGTATACATTCAATAAATGAATTTATAATAAGTTAGCTGTTAGGCTACTATTTAAAAAATAACAATAAAACAACGGTAACTTAAGTAGGTAAGTAAGTATATAAAAACATTAAAGTTACATACTGTGATGTTTACGACTGAGCTTAAAAAACTAACAAGTTGTGTCGTGTCTATATCACGCTATTTTCCAACAATGGATTAGCACAACTGATATCTAGGCAGATATAACTATCTATACCTTTTAGGGTCTGACAACTCCGTGGACATATCTAGTCTTTTAACATTAACGGAGAGCCACTATTTAAGTAGAAGTAAATTATTAAATAAATTCAACATGATCTAGATAACAAACCCTCATTAAATATTTTCAAAGAAAATACTTTATTTAGCTAATGACGAAGACGACACTTTAAACATGCAATGTGCAAATCAATAACTATGTACACATTTAAGTTCATGTACCTATGTATGTAAATATATGTTCAAAATTAATTTAAAAATGTTGATTAATTACTAAATATGCGTAGGTAACAATAAAGACTAGAATACATTTTTAGTTTTTACAGTTATTGGCACTAATTTCAATGATAATGGCACAACTATGTACTCTGTATACAGTGAAAGTACCAACATGAAAAGTTGATTCACAATGTAGGTTTTATTATGCTTTTAATATTACAATTTCAACTCTCTTTGATGGTCGTAAATTAAGTTTTGCTAACTATACTAAAATATATTACAAAATTGTAAAAAACATGGATAAATGTCATTTATATCTAAGTATATATTATAGGAAATACTGAAATTACTGCAGACTTACAGTTATAGATCCCATATTTAAAGCACATCTCTTAAGTGAAACTGTGCAAAAAACACTTTACATTTATTACATTAATATCACTGTTGACAAAGCTCCTCTTAGTTCATAAAATACCAACACGCAGACCATTCTCTTGCACAGTTATCACTTTAAAATTCTAAGCTATGTCAAGTACATTTGTGTTGATGCCAGGTACGAAACCAATACAGCAAACAATTACATCGGCCCAATTAAATAGTAGTTAAAGAAAGTATTACATCACACTAATGCCCTGGTGAAGAAAGCCGAAAGCATAATAATGTCATTAACATTAAAATCTAAAATTGACGAAATTGATATAATCCACTTAAAATATAATACGCACGTTGATGCTGTACTAGCTAATACATAGGTAAGATTCTAATAGTTGAAGAGAATGTAACGCAGTTCAGTAAACTACAAATAGATGAAAGATAATTTTAATAAACTACGACATCACTGTAAAGATACATATATCTAAGTGCATAGTGCCAATAACTGCAGGATATATTAGTTACTTAAATCTTATCAACTAGGTATTTCATAACAAATAGAACACCATTTTTAAGCACGACAAAACATTCATAGTTAAAAATGTAGAGAGACTTACTGAGAAATGTGCTAAATATTCTAAATGTTGAAAATTTTGCTGATTTACTTATAATATAGATTCATTAGTATCAGATCTGTTGTTTGTTGAGATTTCATGAAACACTTTGTCTCGATATTCGTTGACACATTTTCGATTTTGTCAGAGATCAGATTTTTGTACACTCTACTATAACTAGCACAAAGCATTGAATTTAACGGTATCACATTTTAGCCACATCGTATTTTTATTTAGTGACTTTAACGGATAAGAATCAACTTCCGAATCGCTTACACAGGTGTCAATAACATTTACCTATAAGTAATTAACTTAATTTTTTGGATTACAAAGAATTCTAATAAAATTCGTGTAAGTTTCATAGCAGAATTGGATAATAAATTTTTATATTGTACGATGAAGAGGATTTTGTAGTTTTGTGGTCTCAGTCGATACTTTGAAATATGTTTAAAACTGTTGCAATGTAACGATATCTCCATTACATACAATCTGACCTACAAGACCATTATCCTCTACCGTACAAGTTTGGGTTGTAGAAGGGACTAGTTAGGAGCGATGGAAATGTATTGCCGTCCACTTGTTGTGGCGTTTGTGCCATATACGAGTCTCTTGCGACTGGTGTGTGGCTCGTCGTCCCTCGGCGTCCACACTTTGTGTTACGCATACGTATGCGATTACGGCTACATCATCACCGATAAGATGCACTCTAGGGTTTAAGATCGTCGTGTTAGTTTTCACATGGGTTGGCGTGTTATCGATAAAGAACTTGTGAAATTCGACGCCTTCCACTAGGTTGCCCAGTGCATCTGGATCAAATGCAGTTACATTTGGGTCACATAATTTGGAATAGGTTTCATAATCACCGTTATTAATTGCATCTATGAGCACTTCAGTAACTTTAATAACTTCTGCTCGGCGCAAAGAAGCATTACTGTCACCACGAGCTTTACCAAATGAATCAGCTTTAGTCAACGCTTCCTCGTCGTGCTCCTTGGAAATTACAGTACATGCTCTATCTACACCTTTCTTGTCCTTGTCTAGGTCATCGTCTTCCAATGTTGTGCTGCTGTCGGTTGATTCTTTTACTTGTGACCCGTCTCCTTTTTTGTTCACCATGGACTTTCCAGAGAAATTGCGGGTGGCAAGCATAGTTGTCAAAATTGCGCCCTTCAGTTTGCGTCGTGCATTGAATTTCTTCAAACAGTCCACGGTCTCTTGCCTGTGCATAACAGAAGCAACACGTTCCCGGTGGCAAATCCATGGGTGTTTAAGAGCTTCAGAAGCCGTTATTCTCTTGCTCGGGTTTACAGTTAACATCTGGTTTATGAGACTTTTAGCTTCGGGGGTTACTGTATCCCATTCGGGCGATGGATAATCATAAGCGCCCGCTTTAATTTGCCCATACAGTCGATGTTGATCTTCATCCCAAAATGGAGGATATCCAACAAGCAAAATATATAAAATCACACCGCACGCCCAGATATCTACTGGCTTACCGTATGGTTCTTTTTTAAGTACTTCAGGTGATAAATAGCCAGGAGTACCCGCAAAACCAAACCAGGCTTGCTGATCGCCTTGTACTTCAATGGCTAATCCAAAATCAGCAAGTTTTACAGCAGCTCCCTTAGCTTTGCTGGCAAGTAAGAGATTTTCTGGTTTTAAGTCTCTGTGAACAACCCCATTATGGTGACAATGGTGTACAGATTCAAGAATTTGTTGTATACAATGAGACGCATCAGCCTCAGAGTAGAACTCTCTGGCAACGATGTCTTCAAACAATTCACCGCCCGTTACCAGATCAAAAACGAGGTAATGAAAATGTTCCTCTTGAATCGAATCGTGGAGTCTCACAATGTTAGGGTGTTGAAGTTTTCGGCAAATTCGCGCCTCCCTCTCCAACTTTTGGAAGTCTCTTGCAGAGAGTTTTTTAGTATTAATTATTTTGGCCGCAAATTCGTAACCGGTTGATTTCTGCACAGCACGTCGAACGATTGAAAAGGCGCCTTTTCCCAATTCTTCTTTAAGATCATAATTATCAGAAAACCGCGTACTGACACTTTCACGATTTGGGTTGGCCATTTTAACACAGTATACTTACTTCACCAGGTTGTAACAGTTAACTTACTGCGTAAACTTTGAGCACGTATCTTCAGTATTCGAGAATGTAACTGCAACAAAAAAGAAACATGTTATGAAAAGAACTCGTTATATTTTTCTTGTCATGTCATGATTGCGTAGTGTCGTTCTATAATTGGATTATGTTATAAGATGTCAAAAATCGACATCAATATTATAATTATTATATGTAGGTACCAGGTACTTTTTATTTAGGGTACCAGTATGAACACATTTTATTCATTTTTAAAAAAGATACCTAAATGAAATAATACGTAATAATGCGTTTCCTTTACAGATATAATAATAATGTTGGTATATAAAACGTTAAAGATTATTAAGCATATAACAATTGAACTTATATGTATTATCTTATTTTTAATGTTTCTCGTACCACAAATAAATTATTTTTTATGCATATCGTAAGTAATCAGGAGTTCGTAATTTATATTGTGTGAACTATAAGTGCTATTTATATTTTCTCTTATATCTTGCTGTTCTTATTCCACTCACGAAATAGTCAGAAAATAGATATTGTCAAAGAGCGGATGAATTTATCCGAATGAAAAACGTCGGCACTATTTTGGTCACCCAAGCTAAATTGAAGTTCTACATGCTTAATATAAAACGCGTAGATGCCTAGACAATAGTAATCGTGGTCACAAACATAGACTTCTAATATTAACACTACGGCACCGGGATGACATTTGGTTAGCGCAAAATAATCGATACACCATTGTCTCAACACATTCACCAAAATCCCGAGGACATAATAACGTAAAACATTTAATATGTCCGATCCGCACAAGAGATAAAACCCGAACACAAAACCACTACTAATTTAAGAATATCACTGGTACTAGTTTTTTTACTAATAAAATTATCATTACTCGACTTTGGCCGATATTCTTAGCGTTACGAACTCGTACGTATGGTTCGCGATATATTTTTAATGGAACAAATTAAGTCCATCATCCGAATAGAAGGAGAATTTGATCGTAATATTCATTGAAAAATGTCTTATTTACCTATTATGTGCCCATTTTACACAATATTCGACAAGATGAAGATCAAAAACGAAGGGCCTAGCCCTACACCACACTCTCCTTCTGCTCCGGACACGAGCTTCGGGGTCAAATTCATAGACATTTGTGTGTTGCCAGAAAAGTTAACTTATATTTATGTAGGATCTCAATTTTCAAAAGCGCTTTTTTATTAACTTACAGTTTATCAATAGATGTAAATGCTCATTTTATACTCAATGAACATCAATATTTAAGCTAAATGCGTCATATTGTCACAATAAAATGTATTTCTTTACTTTTATTTTTTGTTCTGACCACACTGAGTGTATTCGTAAAATCGATAGACTAGCGCACAGCGCAACGCTAAACCAAAGAGAATTGACGAAGCTGAAGTTAGCGCCATCTTACGGGTATATTATACAATAATGTCAAACACGTTCAGGAACTTTAGAAATTAAAGTATTCTGACAAGTGATAATTATTTATTACATTGAATCGGTAAAGGCTTATCTTACGAAATATTACGTTACATAGTAGGTTATTTTACATATTTATCGACTTAACTCTGTAGGTTTACTGTAACTCTTTACGTATGAGAACATGATTTATTTAAATTGTTTTATTAGCAGACAATATTTATTTGTGTTGTTTCAAGCTTCAGGTACTAATTGTCACTTCGCTTATATTTCGCGATTTTAACAATGGGTATACATACGCTGTATAGAAATGGTACATTTATGTAACCTAGCAAGTTTTAATATAAATATGTAATTATGATTTTATGTTTGGGGAAATTGAAAGTGTAACATTGAATTATAGTAGGTATTTTAACTTTTGCATTAATATATATGTAAAAATGAAACCCGTTTCCCGTTGTCACGCCTTATCTTGAGAACGGCTAGACCGATATGGCTGATTTTTTTTGTTGTGTTTGTTATTGTCAGGATGACATGTGAGTTCTTATGACAGAAAAAAAATCTGAAAATTCTACGGGAACGGGAGAAAACGGGTTTGCGCATACGAAGTCGCGGGCCGAAGCTAGTTAATATATGAATATTTGAATGTTATATGCAAATATATTTAGAAATTTCAACCGAAACTACTGTTGTTTACCTATATCAGATTTATACTTACGACTGCAAAACTTTAAAAGGGTAAAGTATAGTAATTTTACTAATTTCGTTGATGAATTCTATAAATACATACATTGGGATCCAAACTTAGACTATCTGACTCAACATAAATCGTCCTGTTCAAAAGCTACTACCATTTGCTAAGTATATTCTTATCTAATGTGTCCAGGTAGATGCCCAAATATACGTATATGTATTTTTATTTCTGCCGTAATGATTAACCTCGTAGTTATTTGCGTGTTTGTTGACATAGTAAGTGTATAAAATTGTTTAAGTGTACTATCGCAACGTAACTATATGCCATTTTGTTTTTGTGACCTTATCCTAAGTTACTTGGGATCGGCGTAATGTCTTCTTCAATCCTCTCCTATTACATTCCCTTCATTAATATCAAACGTCATTACATCACAAGCTCCTTTTTCTTTCATACCATTCCTCAAATATCTGATCCCTGTGTTTTCTTTGGAACTTCTCTTTCTTTTCTAATATCCTAATTGTAATTCAGCACTCGCTTTGTCTCAAAGTTTTCATCAGTTCTTATTAGTTACCTAACACCATATTATTATATGGGGGTTACGCCTGATGCCATATTAGGTATTATATGGGTCACGTGAACGATAGGTAGTAGGTACGTACATATAAACTAAGAAGACAAATAAATATTATTGTGTGGTCATAAATCCGATGAATCCAAACTACAGACTGGTACTAAAAATTTCATGTTAATACATATCTAATGCTCTCGTGAATATTCAAATTGTTCGTCCAACTTTATATGAGACTTCTTTAGCACTTACCGATTTTATAGCAAAAATATTTTGTGTTAACAAAAAACATTACCAGAACGAATGAAAAACAAAACGGAAAAGAAAAAGTCCTTTAGTTTTCACGACCTTTTCTTAACAGCATTGCTCCGAGAAATGGAACTGAACTCAATCCTTTTTAAAATGGTCTCTGAAAATGGACTGGTTTACCACGTTAACTATTTCAATGGACATCCGAGGGTTTAGAATTGGACTATTCCTTATGAAATTAGTTTGGGTGTAAAGTTATTACGAATAATAAGTCTTTCAATTTAATGAAACCGACAAATAGACATTATTAACATTAACACTATACTGTAATCATTCACGCAAATTCGGTGGATCGAATCCTGAGCTTTTATAAAAATACTTATGAGCTGAGGAACATTAATATCTTACATTATTAAGTATGTGAGATATTTTAATATATCTTATTATTTAATAAAAATTTTATTAAATCACCCTATATTACATCACACGTGACTTATGAAATAACTGGTGAAGGAATTTTTTAATTTGTACTTATAATTATGAGCACCTTTGTCTACTCCTTCAGAGATTAAAAGGTGTGATGACATTTTTAATTCAAATTTATTTAAGTAGTTGGGCTTCCATCATAATTGCAGTGTATTATTTAATAAAATAAGCTCAGACAGAAGACTAATCAATCAACACCCTGATTGCTCATCAAAGCATATAGTTAGGGCCTTTGGGTCATGTATTATATGCTTCTTGACTTTATTGTTTTTACGTCACGTTTAGCTTAAGAGTTATTATATGTCATTCCGGAGTTTTGTCAATCTAAAATTCTTCTTACCGTCATGAGTATCACTATGAAACATATTTACAACAGGAATACGATATCAGTCTACTTTAATGTGATATTATGTAATGTATGTAATATGTACGTACTTATGTATAAAACTGTTTTACTTACTGCTAAAGAATCGAGTCACGATACTAGTCCATCCTGGGTGATCAGTGACCCCTCGAATATTTTAAAGTCGAATAGGACGGCCCCTTTGCTATAATTACTCCTATCATTCTATGGTTTTGTTATTAGCTGTTCGTGTCGGAAATACCGGTTTCAGAACATCAATTTGATTGAAAGGTTGTATGCAGCGCGACTTTTATTATTTTTACTTTCCAAAATTAGTTGACGCGTACCTACTACTATCATCGCGGCTTATCTTGAATTTATGAATGTGTTCGGTGTTCATATCAAAATCGAACTTGCTTTTGTATGAATTTTCGTTTTCGATAAGATCTTTGAATTAGTTTTGAGTTTAGATTACATGCATATTGATATCAGCCACAGAATAGTGTGTGACAAAAGTTCGGCACCGGTCTATAACGGCACCGCCGGTGTATTGGGATAAAAGATCCCCTTCGGGTAGGCTAACTCCACGAGTTGATTCACAAAAATCAAAACTGGTTCGCATCTTGCGCAAGTGCAGGGGGGGAATAAACAAGGGCTTTCGGAACGGGCCCTTCCAAAATTTGCCGGTGCACAATGCACCCTCCGTACCATCCCCACGCAAGCACTCTTATTATTACGCGACTCCGGTTCCTGTCCCCATATTGTTCATATTATTTTGGTATTCGCCAGACGCGTTACGAAGTTTTCGTATCTCTGTGCCGTTAGTTTTCAAAATTTATGCGTAAATTAGTAGAGTAATTTGAAGTGTCTATATTTTCTCGCTCATAATATTAGACGAAAAGTGTTGTTATTTAGAGTCTGAAACCGTGCAAATTATTCGCTTGAAGGTATTCGATTGGCTCCGTCTTCGATTCTGTCACCTAATATTTGCAGCGAAGGGAAGTATTAAGGTTTCGAACGCTGCGGTCGTCTCAAGTTGCTTTTCTCATGAGTGGACGTGCGTGTAAAATAATAACTTGAGAATAATATGTGTGGTAGGAGCGTCGGACGCACGGCGTGCCGCGTGCAGCGCCCGCACGCCTTTGTAGTGAACGAGTACTATCGATCGTGGGCTACTTCGCTA